ATTTTTAACTTCTTTAACACGATAAAGTAGACTTTCACTAATTTGATAGCGTTGAAGTTTTAACATTCTTGAAGTAAGATACTTCTTAATAACAATATCAATATGGTTAAAATATCTACTAATAATATTAGGCAGTCCAATACTTGGGTTTTAGTTACTTTGTTCTTCACATCGTTCAAAATACTCCTCTTTATCAAGTTGTGATTAGATTTGTGTATCTAATTCAAATAACGTTGCAGAACTTTTAATTGATCGCTTAATCAAGGCATTATAACTTTCAACACATTGTGTTGATTGAATTCCAGCATTAAATGACTTATGTGTATAACACAATGCCCAGCTAGTTACATCAGTTCCAAGAGCACGTTCAAAATACTTTTGTGATGCTGGGTAATTATCAAGAAGATCATTCTATCATTTTTTAAACTCATGTTCTGAAAGACTATTTCTACATTTATTCCATACTTTTATAAAATTATTATACTCATTATGTAATTTGCCTCTTAAATTCTTTTCAAGGTTTCTACGTATATGCCAAATACAATGATTATGTTTTGTATTTGGTAAAACTTCATGAATAGCTGCATTCATACCCGGATCTGAGTCTGTAAATAATACTTGTGGTGCAAGATTATTGGTAGCACATAATAAATATTCAAGAATCCATTTGTATGATTTTTTGGTTTTATCTGAAATAACAGCTGTTGCGGCTAAACGAGAATGTCCATGATTATCTACAACAACTATAAATGATAAATACATTCAATACTTATTTGTATGTGATGTATTATCATTAATTGCAACATCATAAAACTTTTCCATAGTTCAATTTGTGATGGCCTCATTCAGAACAGACCAGTAAGATGATTATCTTCACCTTCTAACCGTGCTTCAACAAACTAATCCTCTTCTTGTTGCAATCACATTAACTTTTCATAGGTCTCAGAAGCATCAGTTTTTATTAAACGTTTATTACATCTAAAAAGATTAATTGCATTATATACATTCTTAGGGTAAATTATTGCATTAGAAAAGTTTTGTTGAAGCCCACGAATTATCATTCCTGCTTCACAACCAATATTAACAAGAAATTCAACTTGTTTAAGCATTTCTGAATTAAGGCGTCAATTTTTTGATATAACATCTTGCAAATTTTTGTGTAATGAATGATTATGTTTCTCATTTAATAAAGTAATCTGTACAACACCACTAGATTGATTAAGATTGATTTTCTATGAACAATCTACCTTTACACTTTCATATTCACGAATATCCTCATTATCAGCTTTTTTCTTTACCTTATATTTACCCGAAGATTTACATTCAAATGTACGATGTATAATTTCAACATATTTATTTTTTTCAAGTCTACGCTTAACTAATTCAAATCCAACTTATATTGCATGATTCTTAACTTGTCTCTCAGCTGTGTCCCAATCTTTAAACTCATTGCCAACTTTAAGTTGAAATACCAGGCCATTTTCTTCTAAACTATCTTCCAAACTATCTTCTTCCAAACCAGCTTCTTCCAAACTATTTCCCAAATCAGCTTCTTCCAAACCATCTCTCAAATCATTTTCCAAATCAGCTTCTTCCAAACCATCTCCCAAATCATCTTCTTTCAAACCCTCATCTATCTCTTCACTTAATTCTGATATTATATCATAATCTAACTCCCACGATTCATTAATATCCATAGTATCTTCTAAATATACTTCAGAAATAGGACGTTTATTGTTCATTTTATGTTATATACGTATCTATGTATATAAAATAGCTATAATAAGTATTCTGGTTAATATTTTTTTGTTCTATTATATTCATATACTAACTTATTAATTGTTAGAATAAAGCAAAAGAAAAATTTTTACCTTTGGTATATGAACGTAAAATTAAAAAAAAAAAAAAAATTGCTACCAAATATGAAACCTAAAACAAAAAAAAAAGTACATGCCACCAGAACCAGAATATAAAACTTGTGAATAAAAAAATGTTTGATACTAAAATATGAAACTTGTGAACAAAAAGTTGTTTGCTGCCAGAATTTTACTAGCGAAAAGAAGGTTGCTGTTGAAATATAAGACTTCAAATAAAAAATACTTCTTACAGAATAAAGTAACTTGCAAAAAAAAGTTCATAAATAAAAAAAAAAGTTGTTCGTTACTAGAAAGAAAAGTTGTTTGTCACTAGAAAAAAAGTTGTTCGCCACTAGAATTTGACCACTGCAATTCAACTTCTCTACTGAAACACAATGTCACTGTTAGAATATGGTCTCACTACTAGAACATAACTTCACGCTAGAACATACCCCACCACGCCTTAAAAATATAAGCAGTTACTGGATTACAGCTTTACAACCTTCGTCATATACGTTATTTCTATTAGTGTTTAATTTTGTGAATTTAGTATTTATATGAAACTCCAAGTCACATTTTAGATAAACAATGCAGTTATGTGTAACTCATATTTGTATTACTGTTACATAATTTATAGTAGATCAACGATTAAATTCACTACTGATTAAATTCACCACCAGTGATCTTTAGTAAAGTTCAATATTTTATATCTGATTTTATGATTTTTAATTTTATATATTTTGCCTTAATATTGGTCTATTATATTAAAAATTTTTAACCAGTAATAAAAATCTAACTAGGTAGTAGTTTCTAACTTAAAATATAATTTTTTTTGTAAATCTTGAATATATATTAAAATACTTTAAAAATCAATAACAAAAATACCAAACTAGAAGATTATAAGAATTTATAACCTAAAAGTTATTAGTTTAGGAGTTGTATAGTAACAAAATAATAAGAGATACAAAAAATATAAATATAGCTAAATATAGTAATAAGGCATATATAAACTAGTATAAGAGCTTTGTTTAAAAAGCTTTTAGGTTTGATAATTAGTTTTTGGCATTGTTTAAAATAGTAATAAAAGATTAGTTATTAAGTCAGGCTAATATAACAGACATCTATATAAAGGTAGCTAAATAAATCAGATCTTGATTAGTATATATATAATCTTGTAATAAATTATGTATAGTAATATATATAAATTTGTTATTAAATATCTAATAAAGTTACTAATAAGATTATTAAAATTTAATAAAAAAAAATATAAATATTTTGTAATTATTTTTATAAATATTTTTAAGTAATTTTAAACTAAAAGGTTTAGATTTTATAGCTTAATAGTTAAACTTTCAAATCTCTACAAATTAGGTTAATAGTTTAAGTTAGACTAAAGACAAATTTTAATAAAATTTATTTCTGTAATCTATAAAGACTATCAAATTGAATATGAAGCTTAATAGAGTCTTTAATACCAAACACTTATCATTTTTAAAATTTTTATTATTATTACAAGCTTGTATATTTGCTTTGAATTCTTTACTTCTAACTTGTAAATCCTTAAACCCTAATTGTAAGTTTATCTAAATATATTTATTTATCTCTTTAAGAATATTTGCTATTTTTTGTTATATTTTTAAACTTTTGTTTTTTTATTATTTTTTTATCTTTGTTGTTTGTTTTTTTTTTCTTGTTGTCTCTTGTAAAATATAACTTGCAAACCATTATATTTAGCTATAAATATAATAAAAATTAATTACAAATCTTTAACCAGTTCTCTATAATCAGTATCTTGTAATTCTATATCCAAATCAAAAACCATGAACCTAACTTTATTGACAAACCTATATTATTAATAGTTTCTAATAACTACAACTTCTTTAATAACTCCTTAAATGCATTGGTTTAGAAGAGATAAAAAACCTTTTGGGTATCATTGTTTAAGATATTTCACATTGTTATTCAAGATTTTTTTTTTGCTTGGCCAATTTAACTTGTAACAGATCTTTTTTTTTGTTTGAATTGCCTATAATTTTCAAACAATCTTGAAATATCTTCAACAAGGTATATAGAATCATTTGCTATTAGATGTGAACAAATATTTTATCTTTTCTTCATTTAACCATTTTCATAATATACTGATTCTGACTTCATATGTTTTTGAATTTTATCAGCAAGAAGATATATTTGTGGATTTGATCATTGGCAGAAGTAAAAAACCATGGTATTTATATAGAACCAAACACTTATTATGTAAATATAACTCCCTTCAGAGTCAGCCATTTCGACAATTACAAATTCTAAAGTAATCATAGTGTAAACTTTATATTATTGAGTATTTTAAAGCTTGCAATTGTCAAACGATTGAACTTGTTGTGTCAAATGACTAACTCTTAGGGGGTTATGGCTCAAAAACAGTTTAGTGTATACAGGCACCGTTAAAAATATGCCGACGATTATCATACCAGAAAAAGTAAAATCAAACCAACGATCTATCCGAAATTACAACAAATAACGAAAATCGTAAATAAATAGAAGAAAACCGTGAAATAAATAAAT